TATCGTACCATAATCGCAATATTGATCCTCATCTGATGTTGATGGATGGCAATGATTATTCAATTTTCACACTTAATAATGAACGGTTTTTGTAATGTTAAAAACTCCAAATCAAGCGAGACCACGTCGAATTGTCCGTTGCATTAACCACGAATAAGTAGACGTGCTAAGCCATACACAGATTTTTTCCAAGCTTAATGTTGACTTATTTATAGTAGTAATAATAATAATAAACATTGACGGTTCTTAACGAGTAGCAAACATACTCAATATTATGTAGTACAATTATTATTATTATTTATAATTATCAAATACATTAAATGGATTATCTTGGAATATTTCATTATTTTTTAGCAATTTATAATGCACAATAATGTGGTCCACTGACTTATATCAATGATCAACGGAGAATAAAAAATAACAATTTTAATTAGTAATGAAGTATATCTCTAGAATTAAATTAAAATATGTTTTTTCTCAATACATTCTCAAATACACTATAGCCTACTACTTTATTTACAATTAACGTCTGAAGAAATTAAAAAATTTACCAGTTTAATATTTGATATTCGTCTTAACTAATTATATTAATTTAATCATTGTACATATTATGATATATGCTTAAAAGAATTGATTAAATGGAACGATTCATCTAAGATATATTATTAATTATTATTACGTAGCATATCTATCAATGGGCAATGCCAATGAATATTCAATAGAAAGATATGTTACCTATACATATATCTCAGCGAGTTGGGATATGATATAAATTTTAAGTAAATCTGTATTGTATTATAACTGTATAATATGTATTCGAGGAAATATCATATATTAATCTGTGCTCTAAATCTATTTCTAAAAGGTACGTTTTCCTAGCAGAATTAGATATAGACACAGGCAGTATCGGATCTAGGAGGAGGGGAGCGATTTGAAGCCCATGCTCCAGGTTTTCATCACAGAAAGGTGCAAATTTAAAATTCTAAACTCATACTTTTTTATTATATAAATCCTTTTTAGGCATATTATTATTATTATGCAAGTATTTACAAATTAAATAGTTTTAATTCAACATAGTCATATTAGGAATGGTCATGGAACAAAAATTGTTATATTGTATCAGATTATACTTTCAATTTTATAATTTTGCTAAAAATAGCCAAAAACACGACCGTAGCACTTAACAATAGTTAATATAAACTATTATTGTAGTATCGGTAAGCCGTAAAAAAGTTGTTCAATTTTTTTTCTCTATATCTACTCAGAGGTAGGATATTCTTAAGAAACATCTTAAATTTTCATTAAAAAGTTATATCACGACTAGATGGTTTGTAAGCAATGCGCAGTTAGATCATTATATTTGCTCCGCCTAAAAAAAAAAATAAATATTTCTAATAGATAGGATATAACCTCAAAACACCCTTCTCCTTTGTTATGTGTAATGATAAAAATAATATGCTTTAATAAAAATAAATTGTATGTATACTTATAATATTACTATATTTTATAAGTACCTAGGTAGTAAAAATATTTATAAACGTTTCAAAAACATAAAAATAAGATGTTTTAAAATATATAACTTTAAAAATAGTATATATATATATATGGTATTGTGAGAATTTATTATAATTTTTTATTATTAATACTTAGTCATAAATCTACATTGCTATGCATTGTACAATACTAATGGTACATTTCCTATACTACGTAAAACACTACATTAAACATAATATAATATTTCATATTTTCGTTAACAATCATTTATAATGTTAGCATATTTTAATGGTTATCATCGATTAACATTATCCTATTTGATTATCCGATAAATTACATTTTAATGTTCTACTATTATTTATTCACATGTATATTTTTGCAATTTAATGTATTGATCATATTATGTAAATTATATCAAATATATATGCAATAAGAATTTAGGAAGATTATTTTTATAAGATTGTATTGTCTCAGTCTACTACAGATAGATTAAATATTTCTCAATATTTACCGTAAAACTCACGACAAATGCTATGTTTTTAACGAGTTTAATAAAGACAATTTTATTAAGATTAAAAACTTTTCAACTGGTGTTTTAATAATAAATTAAAAGTGATTTCATGACTATAATATTGTCAGTTTTTGTGTAATTATAAAGTTATATAGATTAATGGTATAGCGTGGAATAAAACTTGAAGGTAATAATTAAAAAAACTTAAATTTTCAATGATACGAGGGTATAATATTTACTGTGCATATAAATTACGCAACAAAGTTATATGACTATAAAACTTAAAAATAAACTAATTTTAAGATAATTATAACTTTTTTGTAATAGTAATAAAAAAATAATAATAATAAAACAACATTACATACCTATTCTAAGTTTTTCTATATTATTAATTTAGCATGGTCTTCTTATACTTTCGCTTTTTTTTGTCGTCCTTTTTCGCATAAACCATTTAATTTCTTTGTATTTTAATAATTTGTACTACTCATACTAAATTGTATTCGTACAGTAGTTTTAATTTCTCATGTGAAGCGTCTAGTTAAATGTTATGTATGAGTTTTGTTTAATCAATAATTACTTATAAACAGTGAATATTATGCCGTAATTTCAATTTCTCCGATCGAGAAATAACATAAAACCTAAACATTTGAACTTTAATTAAAAATGGAAACGAAATATTTAAAAAATTTAAAAACTCTGCGACGTCAATGCATTTTTCATTCTTTATTTAACTTAATTATCTACTAAAACTTGACCTATGTTAGTAAGTAATTGTAAGTAAGATTGTATATAACTCTTAATTAAATGTAGTTATTCAAAAAGTTAGATACATTACTAAAAACTTAAATATTTCAAAACATTTTCCATCAATTTAACTTAACTCAGTTAAAAAACACCATTAACTTGTCCAGCCTTGCATACCTAATAGGTGCGTGTCGGTGTAGTAGATGACTTAGTAAAAGGACAAATACGATGTAAGATTATTATTTAGTAAAAAAATGCATGCGTTACCCGAGAATTCACTGGTGATGATATTTGCGGCCGAAGAAAGATATTAATATAATAATAGCTTTGGTGTCTCAACATTTTCATTTTGAATTTCTTGTATGTGAGGATTTAAATTGCTATTATTTACAATTAATCAAACAGGAAAAATGTCATCGATGTCTACATAGAAAGTGATAGAAAATGTTTATATTATACACTTAATAAAAGACTTTGAATTGTTAATTTTATTTTGGAAAAATATTTTTATTTTAAAGAGAAAAATGGTTATACTCATACCAAAAACACTATGCCATAATAATCTTCATAATAATGTATTAATTTAAAATTCTAATTTTTATGATTTCAACAGATAATCGCATTTATCGTTCATTAGATATACCTACATAAAAAAAAAAAATATATGTATGTATAGAAATAATTCAATGTACAATAATTAGTACTTATAGTAGTTACATGGTAACAATATTATACGTTACAAAATGACATATTTTAATTTCTTGTAAATCAAATAAAATATTATAATCTTGTATATTTTTTTATACATCGAGTAATAATAAAATATTAATATTTTAAGGTTTTTTATAACTATAGTGCCATCTATTGACTTTACATTGATACTTGAAGTTTACTTTTATACTATTCAGCCTGTAGATAGCGCTACACTTTCTAATATTTTATTATATTTCAATAAAATTTATTAATAATAATTGTGCAGAAAAAGGATTAATTTAGTTAGTTCTGAAGTTTTTTAATATTTAAAATCTATCAGTCAGAAATATTAGAAGAGAAGTAGTTTATAAGATAGAATATTATAATATAGAATATAGAAATATAGAAAATAAAAATAAAGAAAAAAGTGTAAAATATATTTTAATCTACCTAATTTACGTAATTTTAAGAATAAATTAATAGACGGAATGAAAATTATTTATACAAATATTAACAATGTACTTAAAATAAAATATAAACTACAAATGCATTGATCACAGATTGGAACGCTGAGCTGAACTATTTAAAATGTTGGGAATATTATTATAATTGAATTAAAATATTTTTAAATACCTACCTAACTGAAACCTATACTTCTAAACGAAACGTTAATGGTTACTAATAATGTTTATACCTCCGTGATATCTCTTTGGTTATTTTTGGTTTTTTTATGGATATTATAAATAATTTAACACGGAATGTCAACAGTTAGTTATTGGGTTTTATTACTTTTTTATATTACATATTACTCACAATACGCGGCGATTGTCAGCAACACGTTTACTGCCTCGTGGCCGACAAAAATCGAAGAACTAAACTTAATAAAATTGTAATACGCACGCGTAGCGAAATGATCTTATCTTTATTGTTAATATTTTCGATTCCCCTCAAACATTAAATTTTTTTCGGTTTTTTAGAGAGGTACAAAGAGACAAGGAGTGCTTTGATAATAATAATAATAATTTATTCAATGTAATATATAAACTAGATAAACATTATTTAAGAAATACAACATTAAATACAATATGAATCTTATACTGTATACATAACGTTTACAATAAATATCTCAAATATGATAATATAATTGTTAGACATCATACCCAGTATTATATTATTATATAAACGTTGTCACACGAGCATTTGATATCTCCTGCGAATATTATAAGAAAAACAATTTTAGAAGAGTGGTGCTTAATTAAGTCCAATACTTCAATACTATTTTAAACAACACACTCAATTTGATCATGGAAATTTAAATTATCGGTTAAAATTATGTCTAGGTCTGTAAATGATGAAACTCGTTTAAGTTGAACGTCCAACTTATGAAATAAGTATGCATTATATGTTCACGGGATTTTTAAAAATACATCGAGTAACATTTATCAATATATTTAAGCATACACTCCAATTTTGATATCAACCAGAGAAAATATTTAATTCATCTTGTAGAATTAAACTATAATCTATTGAGAATATACGAGTTCATATTTTTAAATCATCTGCAAACAACAGCGCGTAACAGCTGATAAAAATTACGCACCTCGGTATCCACATTAGCGATACACGCAAAGGTCAATCAATTCAATGTGTAATGAACAGGCTTCACTATAGAGAGATCATCCATTTGATCATGTTTGACTTCCACCCCAGGTAAATATAATCCAATATTATTTTAGTATAAATAGTATTAAAGTCATTTAATTTTAAGGAAACTTTTTTTCTTTAATCTGAAGTAGTAAATACAAATTAAAACATTTAATTATAAAAAAATAACATGAAGTTCACACGATCAAGGAAAATAAATTGTCATTTCTTAATTTAATTTTGATATATTTATATTATTTTGCTAATAGGTATATAAAAAATTAAACAGACGAGTATACATTTAAAAAATAAAAATTTGAATCTGTTTAATATAGTTTTTAACTTTTATCTTTGACTTAAATATTTTAAGAATGGGAACCGGATCCAAAATCTTTTAATAAAATAATTAAATACCAGAACCGGAAATCACAAAAGGTACTTATCTTTGAATTTTTTGAATTAAAATTATTACAATGTTTTGAAAATTTATAATTTATCAGATTCTATTTTTTCAATTAAAATTTATTTACATAATAATTCATTATTTTAAAAACTATACTTAAAATTAACAAATTGAGGTATGTACAACTAGATATAATTTAAATTTTTATATAATTAAATTTGGCTGTTAGATAGGTGCATAAATAAAAATTTGCCTTTGCACAGTAATGTATCGGTGAATATGCTTGAATATTATGTAACTTTCTAATAATGTTATACCTTATGATTTGTCTTACATTTTTATATTGAGTTTTAAATTTTTTTACAAATAATGTAACGGTGTCGGTGTTTATAATATTACTTATCGTTTTTATAATGTAGGATTATTGAAATTTATTGTGCTTAAAATGGTAAATTTTTAAATATTAATTTTTAAAATTATGTATTCGAATATCGTATGGATTTCGTCAAATAAATTCATTTATCGATAATTGTATAATAATAGATGTATTACACTATACACAATAAGTACCTAATAACGCACAAAATTCGATCTAATGATTAATTCGAGTAGGTACCTATTATAGTATTTACATTTTTTTTCTTTTCACGTTACTATTTGTATTACGAATCACTAATTAGGATAAATTATAACACGATAAAGTTTTAATGGAAATAAATTGTGATCGTCGATGCAAATACGTATACAATATACATATATATATATTCTATGGCTTTATCGTATTTTTATTATTATTATAGGTAATGTGAAGAATTTTAAATCTATTGAAAAGCCAGACGGAATTGGTCGGTTCATTGAACACAACACAGAGAATGAAAAACTATAAAGACACATCAAACATGCCGCCGCATCCAACGAAAACGTTTTTCTAGTAACAATAACGACGCAGTTTGTGCAGTACGGGTTTTGGCAAGTATGATATAATATAAAATATTTTATAACGTAACAACCATTTACGATTATCGTGTTTTTGTGGCGAACCGCTACAGATGATGTGCAGAATCGACGTGTTCTCTCGCAGAAAATAGTATAATTAATAATATTATTACCCAATATCCATGATGTACTTATATTACGATTGAATGAAATTGTAGACAACTCAGAAAGAAGAAACCGTCAGTGTATTTTTGTTACTTTTTTTTATCGCAAAATGTACGCTATTAGAATACTAATAATTCTAAAATAATTGTACACAATTATTATTGTAATGTCAAATTATGTTAGAATAGATTAAAAGGTAACCTAACGTAATTTTAGGTTCTGAAAAAAATAACCACAAGTAAGTACTTATTCGTACCTATAGTTATTATCTAGACATATAGTGTACATAATTAATTTAAATATTCGACTGGTAATATGATTTAAAATAAATTGAAAGTTAGTTATTATTAACTGATTTAATAAATACGCGAGTTTATCTACATATTTATCGAACTATTATAAAAAAAAAACCAGGTTATTTGACAAACAATGTCCGTGTTATGTTATTTTTACAATATTTTTTTAATAAAACTGTAATGTATTATCAATAACATCACAATATTATATTAATTTTATTATACCTATAAATAATATATAATATTATAATGTTGGGATTTCCGTTTTTCGCAAAAATGACTCTCAAATCTCGACCGTTATCTCTGTGACCGTTTTCCACTAATAAAAGTTATATTACAATTTCCTTTAAAATAAATTAATGTATTATTTTAGATATTTTTGAAAAACTCTGAACCTTAATTCATTAAATCGTAATAAATTATTACTATGTAGGCGATTCACCTAACCTTTCCACGTATGATCATTGTATAATATCAGTTACCTAATATTGTTTTATTGGGTATTTCTCAACGTAATTCAGAATGCTAATCTGCCATCTTGTAACCGTGTATTCATAACATTTATTAAAAATCTACTTTTCAAATGTAAGTAGGTATGTAATTTTCTGAAATATAGGCTGAAGTGATTATCAAGAACACCAAATGCTCGTGAATTTTTTTTTTTTTTCATATTTTAATTGATTATTATATAATTATATTAATTTTATTTTATAATTTAATGTATTTTGACGTTAAATTAGTGATTTTATAAAATTATGAAATTTAGTATACAGAATTTATGGATTTGGTAATGTTCCATCCAATGGTTTTTGTTTTGATTAGGAACTACCAGCAAAAAAATAATAATAAAACTTTCCTTATATGCAGTACAATGTTGGCTGGGTCTGTGCGTTAAATCCAACTAATAGTGTATAAGTTAGGAAATACACTGATAAAGTTATATTACTTTATATAATATAGACAGTGAGGTGAGGTATGTATATCGTAATCATTATGATATGATGGATTTAAAGGTTTCGTAAAAAAAATGTAAAGAATAATATATTAAATTTATTTTGGCAGAAATTGAAATATTACCTTTATTGGAAAACGGACACTATAATAACTAATAACGGTTAAAGATCTGCACTTTGGCAAAAAACAGTGACGCTCTATTATATATACCTATAATATTCTCGTATAAGGACCCAGCTAAATGGAAAAAAATACAATTAGGTCAAAATCTTTGACCCAATTTTTAAGGGTTAGTTATTTATTATTGTCGTTATTTATTTTTGTTATTATAATTATTTTTTTTATTTTTATAAAAGCTATTTTTTATTACGTCGCCGTGTCGCGTCACACAGGATTTCGTTTAAAAACATAATTGCTGATCGTAATCGTACGAGACGGGACCGGAATGATCAACGAGGAAATGACAAAAAAATTTTTTTAAATAGGTCACGGGAGACATGGTGTTGGCTTGCATTAAAGTTGCATTACATATAATAATAGTGTGTACTATATACATGGTTGCTGCAGACGCGGCTGTCGATGGCTATATGCACTGCAATTTTAATGTATATATAAATATGAGTGTGATGAGCGGCTGACGGTGTACTTATGGAAATATCATTATTATTATAGAGGATCGAAGTCTGAGAACTGACGATGGTTGGGAGCAAAGGGTCGGGAAGATGTTAGAAGTGCAATGTATGCTTACACTAGAGCATATTATTATTAATATATAGGTCTATACAAATGGTTTTGTATAATATATAAGAAAACCTTGTGCAAACAAAATCGCCTCTGTATAGCCGCTTTCGAATGTATATTACACGCATATAGCAGGTATATAATGAACTCGAAGATGAAGAAATACATTTCATAATATAAGTTATACATATTACTATCTAATTTGAGTTTGATGTACTTATAGTTTGTCTCGCAAAAGAAAGGTATCATGTTTTGACGAAAACCGGATAGTGTTGCGCATCTCCACTCCGTTTGCACCTATAATAGGTACCCCCACAACATTCGGTCCGACATCGGTTCGTAGCTTAGTCTACATGTGGAAAACGGAACCTATTTTTTCACGAGAGAGACTATGTTATATTATATACATATAATTAAAAATGTACAATTATTCTACGATTTTTAAATAAATTCGTCGCCGCGTTTTAAATTTTAAATCTTTTGGTCATGAGTATACGCATTGCCGTTGTCTCTTCATAGTTGTTTTATCGTATTCATCGATTTATAGTAGTTCTGTACTCAGACAATGGCTGCAGGTGTTAGAATATATTCAAACGTCGTAGTTAAGTTATTAATGTATTGCGAACTCAATTATTTTATAATATGCATAAACGTTGAATGTTGCAGTTTATGTATAATGTGGAAAATGTATATGTCTGTACAAAGGTACAATATCATAACCATATATTATGATAATTTAGATTCAAATGAAGTGTATTGTGAAGTCCGTGTTTATGATATATGGTGATCGGGTGAGATGAAAATATTTATAAGGTATGTTTTATTAAACTTATTTAAGTGCCTGTATTTTTCCATGTCTTAAAAATTATTAGAAAACAGGATTCACAAAAAATTATATTTTCAAATTATTTTTATTTATTTATTTTTAAATTTAGTTGAATTTATTTTTTTTTTAAACATAAACTGCTTAACTGTAGTAGCAATAAATAAATAAATGTACATAAATCTGATAATTATTACCTACTTCATTATTTTTTTATATGTTAAAATAATAATAAATTAAACTAATTACTCTCTGGTGGCAAATTTAACTACACAGCATTATCCGTGGTATGTAATTGCCATATAATGTACTATAGACAATAGATTACATTCACCACTCGCCACATATACGTTACTGCAGCTACATCTCAATTTATTTACAATGTAATAATATCATATAAATATTAAATGTACGTCGGAAAATCGATACAAAGTTTAATAAGTATATCAGTTAAAAAATTTAGGAATTTATGTATACCTATGTGCAATTAATTGTCCTGTTAAAAAGATCTCTGTATGGTTAAGTTTCAAATTAAATATTTCTTAAATATAGTTACCTGTATAGTACATTATAGTATATAATATTGTGAAACCATTTTTTAATTATAAAATATTGGGATATATTGAAACCAATTATTATTAAATAAGGTAAATTTTTTGATTTATTATTTTAATGTAGGTACATGCAATATAGTGGCAACTGTATTACGCGACATCATGTTTATAATTTGTAGCTTAGGTATAATTTAGACATATT